ATTGAACTAATTTCCAGAAACAAATTGACCACGTTGGCTTAACTAATTATATAGGGTTTGGTCGATGTTTGGTTTTATCGAATTTGTTTTTAACAAAACATTTGGTAGTCTACACTGTCTTGCATGCATATGGATTTTGAAATGAGTTGTGATGTGTTTATTTAGTTTTCTCTTTATGGTGTTGGTTACTTTTCAACCAATTAACATGTGATTCTCCTCGCAAGGAATTTGAAAAGAAACCAGTCTTCAATTCGTATGGTCATATTTTCATGTTTTCATTTGTTTGTGTAAGAAAAGGAAATGTAACAAAAAGTATAGTTTCTTTTGGTTCTTGATATTCTTCAATACAAAAATCAGTATTGAAACAGATTCATTAATTGAGACTGTCTTATCTCACAAGCAAAACCAAAATTATATTTATTAGCCTAATTTTGTTTTTCTGTCTTTGTATTTTAGATAGCTGTTGTGATCCTGCTTTTGTGTGGCTGTTTTTCAAAGTGCTTGATAGCTTCTTTGACTACAGGTTAGTGTTTCATCCATTTTTCAAAAGTCTGCATGCATATGGTGGCTGTAGCTTATTGATTGCCAAATATTATGACAATTGAAAATTCTCATTTCTGTGGTTCTGTCAATATCACGGTGCATTTGCGTTGCTTAATTACAGTTTAGGTGTGATTGATAATTTAAAATTTTATAAATGCATGTTTTTTCTCCTTTCCAGTTATCAATCTGTTGCTTGGGGTTTTAAATTTCTGTGCATAATGCGTAAAAGGAGATAGCAAATGAAATCAGATGATGCAAGAAGCTCATAGTTTTGCCATTTCAAATGGTATAGAAATCTCTTATGAAAGTGTTTGTCTTGTCGATGATAAACATATAAAACCAGAGAAGAAAATGTGTCAGATTCTAACAATTTACTAATTATCGATTTGAAGAAGAAAAAAGCCCAGGGCAGTTCCAAAATTGCCTCTCCTACTTCCACACCAGAGTTTATGCTCTTTCCTTTTCAATTCATTCATCTCATTAATGTACACATTGCATACATAATATTTCATTGTTCACAGCTTATTTCCCCACTCAATTTCTCTATATTAAGTGGTAGTTGATTGCATTGAATTTGGGCAAAGTTTCCTTTCTCATAATTGTCTTCAATTATGATTCAATTTTAAAGAAAATTTATCAACTCTTCTTTTAAAATATGATTTTTCTCAAACGTCTTTTAGAATGCAATTTGGTTTCATTCCTTTGAGCCAATGTGTTTGATTTTAAAGCATTTGCCTTGCATTAATTTTTGTGGTTTACACAAGTGATGTACATATATTTCAATTCTCCCTGATTCTAATATTTTAGTCACTTGAAATTTTTGTTCATACTAAGAAACTTCCCTGTTTTTAGAAGTTGGGGTATGGATATTTGATAACTTCAATAAATATATAAATTTATTTACTCTTTTTTATTAATTATTAAATTTTTATTTTATTTTCCGTATTTTTTTGGAGCTCCCATATGAACTGACTTTCAATTACATTTTTCAAATTTGAAACATTGTTATTAAATGTTTTAATTGTAATTAACAAAACTATAACCTATAGCGTCTTATCTCTACCTTTATTCTACTTCTATAACATATAGCTGTTTATACATCATTGCTGCGTTTAGAGCTTACTTCTCCACTAGATTATCTTACTTCTGTAACAAATTTGCTCATTAGGTCACTAGATCATCTTATTTCTGTTTATAGGTTATTAGGCATTTTTAGATCATTTAAATTGTGGTTTTTGCAGTTTTTGTTGTTGGCCTTAATTCTATAACAATAGCCATTCTCTTTGCTCAAATTTTCTCATTTGTCGACACTAACACCTACTGTTTACCAAGTTTATACCAACTGAGTCAACACCCCTTGATTTGATTCTATTAAAATTGTCACAATTGTTTTCAGTTTATTTCAATTGATTCAATAAAATTGACCTTATACTTTTATCCATCGGATTAATAGAATGCTTGATGTATGTAAATTGTTATTTCTCTGGTTTACTTTTTTAACTTAATTCTATCATAATAATTAACGCTTGCCATTTTTCAATTTTATACCAACAGAGTTAAAACCTCTTGAATAGAGAAGAGGGAACATCAGCCAGCTATGCAACAAATGCAGCAACTGCTAGATGCCCTTGCAAGAAACATCAAAAAAGAAAAATCCATGTCCATCACCCATTAAAATATAGATAGACGCCTGTACAAGTTTTTTTAAACAATATGCAGCTCGAGGCTGCTCATATTTTGATGTTTTAATAGCTGCTTGATATATTAAAATATGCATAATACTTTTACAACTTAAACTTGCTAAACTAAGCATGATGGCACTGTTTAGATCTCAATTTATATATAAATAGGGCCAGTATTTTAAAATAATAAGCAGCACATATATCATCTTATTAATTTATCTATCTTACTTAATTTATTTTTTTGTAACTTAAACGTACTAAACTAAGCATGATGCTACTATTTAGATCTCAATATACATATAAACAAAGCCATATTTCCTACATATTTTTACGACTTTATACACATTTGATGCAATTTCAAAACCCGCAGCATCGCGCGGGCGCCTTTGCTAGTATGTACCTATTAGAGAAAGAGACGATTTGCTTTGACCTTAAAGAATATTAAACTGAATAAAAGCCTAGAAATTAAAGAAACATTAAAAAGATATTAAAATCCTATAAATTAAAGACAAAGGGGGAAAATGAAAATTGAGGAGAAATAACCCAATATTAAACTTACAAGAGTGATGTAGCTTCTAGAGAATGGCTCAATTGATCCAAAAAGAAAAATTAAAGTAACAGTGGAAGAGGAGGAGAGGGAGATGAAGGGTCTGAATTGAGGAGAATAGAAGAACAAGAGAACGCGGTGGAAAACGTGAAAACAGATGGATAACAAATGTAAATTGTAAAGTTAATGAAGGTTATTTTGGGTAGTTTGAAAAATTCATTAAACATCCAGCACCTCCTGAGGGCTAGTTTAACATTGTTGTGCTGTGAAAATAATCGCTGTCAGATTTGCTATGAGATAAATCAACTATGAGATAAAGCAGTTTGACATTTGGTAAATTTTATGTTAAAAGTGTTGTTGGTACTTATTTCCGCATAATCAAAAAATGAAAGCTGCTCAACACCGCCTTCTCCAAATTGCTTTGGGTGGCAGTAATCATTCCATAAAAGTGATTTTCAAACTTTTTACCAAACATGCTGGGATTTAAAAAAATTTAAAAAAAATCACTTATAGCCTCCAATAGGAAATGAGCGCCCATTTCACATTGCTTATTTGGGGTGATAAGTGATTTTTTAAAAAATTTGGGAAGCTCAGCATGTTTGGTAAATTATGAGAAAATCACTTATTGTTAAAAATTGATGTGAGAGAAAGCTATAAGGGAAGACAGCTAATGAGGTGCTTTCATTTTTTGCTAGGGACAACCCAGTAAGCATCTGGCGACGACGACTTGATGGGAATAACCAAGTAATTTAAAAATAAAAATAAAATGTAAATATCAAAAAGAATCAAAAAAGGAGATGTAATTATACGTGGCACAAAAGTCAAAGGACTTATATCAACAACAACAAATATGAGGATTGCATCCAACTTCTGTTTTCGATTTTGGACTTATACCGAATTTTCTATAATTTAAATTTGTGTTTGTAATTTAAGGTTTACAATTAGAAGTGCCTGTCTTGGATACAGTACAAGTTAGACACTCTGCTTTATATCCATTTGTTACGCTAACTGGGTTGTTACTTCCACATTTGCTAGGGACAACCCAGTAAGCATCTGGTGACGACGACTTCTTGTGGTGGTGGACATGAACGAGCAGAGCAATATGAGGGAAAACCTTTTCTTGGGAGACCAAAGAATCAATTTTAAAATTATAAATAAAATTAATAATTCATGTCAGCTAATTTCATGAATTGATGTGGCATTGCCCACATAAGGTGGTTAGCTAATATGGTCAATTAAATGTGTTCAAATGACATTACTAATTTGCAAAACATCCTTGTTAACTTCTCAACAAAATAAGTTGTTATTATTTCATACTGAGATGGAAGTATAGATTAATCAGTTGTCAACCCCTCCAACACGATACAAGAAAGATTGAAGGAGATGTTCACCTTTTTGCAAGAGATATCATGAGTCATAAGTCATGACCTGCTCATGACTCATGAGCGTCTTCATCATTTACTTCACAACTCAAAACTTTCCGTACAAGGTGCTTGTTTTCATTTACATTTGGGGTCGGCACATCCAAGGGATATCCGCTTACATGATCAAGAGAGTTTGTAACAAGAAAGAGTCCATCCTGAAAAATATCATGCCATCAGCTGACAAATTCATAGCTACAATTTATACTGAAAACTACACATAAGAGAAAAAAGAATGATTAAATACACATCATAAGGATGATGGAGACACTTGTGATTGCATACCCCATCTATGGAGCATCAGTGTACTCACTATACCCGCCGTGTACTCACTATACCCGCCGAAAACAGCTATCTTTCCTGAGAAGCATGGAGAGAAAAATATAAGCTAGATTTTCCTGGAAGATTGGGAAAACAAGACAACAAATTCAAGTTGAAACCAGAAAGCAAGCACAAGAATCATCATTGACAAATAAGTACACAAAGTTTAAGGAATGACATTGGTAGCATAGTGTGCGCTTACCGGCCTGAACCTTGTGTCTATTGGGATCAAATCAACTCAGATCGTTCACAGCATCAGCCTCCAAAGAGTGAAAATGAAAAAAACAGTGCCTCTGTTGCCAGATAACCATTTTGTTAAACAAAATCCAAATTCTAGTAGCTAAGCATAGGCTAGGCTAAGACACAGACAAAAATATAAAAGCAAATAACATCAAAAGATTACTAAAACTAACTATCACATCATCAAGTCCTATTCCTCCAAAATGGATGATCTTGATCTTGATCTCAATCAATCTCAGTTTACGTTCAGTCGACCACAGAGAGAGTTTGATACTCTTTGTCGGCAATGGCTGCTTCCAGGAGCTGATGCCGGTCAATTTCCCCACCATTATCCAAGAAGGACTTGATCAATGTCTTCGAGTTTCCCCTCAAGAGGGTCACTCCTGGATGAGGTTCTTCTACACGAGGCATAAACCCCCCAAAGTCCCAAATATTCCAAAACAAAATGTGTGGCATCGCATCATCCCCGTAACCCTGCTCCTTAAAATTGCTGCGTTTTGCCTCATACAGAGTCTTCCAGGATGTGCTGCCACCAAATCTTACGGAGTCGGTGACCACAAACACCTTCTTGATCATCTGCTCCGCCTTCAAGTTATTATTCACAGCCACTTCCAGAATCAAATCACACACCTGATCAAAATCAACACCCTCGTTGTACCTGTTGCTGCATGTGCTGATCACAAAGTCGTACCTGGACTTGAGATCACTGCCTTGTATCGAATGCAGCAGCGGCAGCTTATCAGGCAATGGACCCAGAGTGATCACCTTTCCTTTCCATGCCGGCTCTTCACTCAATTCAGACACCAAAATTCCCAAACTTGCCGCCAATTCTGTGATTGATGATGCAGTCATTTCGTAGGTGATGTTACACACTGCCAAGCAGTCCTTAAATTTGTTCTCCCCCTGGTACATGTTCTCCATCATTGCCTTCCACTGAATCTCAGCTGCTTCCCCAACATCCTTATCTTTTACATATCTTATGATATCATTTGGAAGCAATGCATCCGACTTTATGATGCTGCTGCCTGCTTTCACCTCCTCCAAATACTTCTTGACCACACAGGGCTCTCAAATGGGATAAGCTTGCGTGCGTTGACGACTATACTCGGTCAAGGGCTCCAAAAACTCCTTCCTAAGCCGTTCCCATTCTTCTGATTGATCTGATTCTTGCGGGAAAAGAATCCTCCCAAGGCTTTCAGACAACAAAACAGCGCGGGTGGCCTGGACTTGTTCAGGGCTGCTGGGAGTGCAACATTTTGCAGCCTGGCTAACGAGAAGCAGTTTATCATTATCTTCAGATTCCAATTCCATCTTCAGTCTGTGCTGCTTCAATTTGTCAATATCAGACTTTAACTGCTCCGCCAAGAACTCCATAACCCGGTCGTGCAACAACTTATAGTGCGTGTCACGGTAGAGCGTCTGCGCCGCAGATTCTTGGCCTTGTTCTAGAAGAAGGCCGTAGAGAATCTCGACAAGGTCCCACAAACGAGCTATCGAGAGGTAGAAGGAGCCGGAGCTGGCAAAGGAGGGGATGTTGCATAATAGCGTCTTGGGGTGGTTGTGGTGGAGCCAGGATGCGGCCGCGTAGAAGGCTGCCGGAAAATCTTTTTCTCCAGGACCATCGAAGGAGTTGAGATTGAAGATGAGCTTGAGGGTGGTTAGGGAATTGTGGGACCAGGCCACCGGCAGCAGTTGCTTCAGGTAGTTTATGGTGGCCTTGTTGTGCTGCTCCACCTGTTCATCAGTGGGCTCTGGTGGTGGGAGACACATTCTTATGACGTTGTCTGGTGATTTCACGTGGAAATACAGATCATGGCAGGGATCACCATAGGAAATAGGGGAGATGGTAAAGATGTTCTTGGCCATGTCATTTGTTGACACCGTAACTGACCAAGCAACAAGAAGCAAAGCAAAGCAAGAGGAGTCCCACATCGGAAAACTGCAAGAAGTGGAGACTCCCCTTCACCTATAAAAGGAGACTTCTCTCCTCTTAGAA